GCACCACAGCTAAATGCAAGATGGAACCGATTGTTTAGCAGAAGTAGATAGTACATATTCTGAGGGACCATTCAAGGTCGAGTGGCCCATTACCACCTCTGCAGTCAGAAGACATTCTCTCACCAACAGAAGTTGGTCCAGTAAAAGGCATTACTTCACCCACCTTGTCTGACTAATATCCAGGGACTGATACAGGCAGTCATCAGCTGGATACCACACTGAGGCTTTAGCTACACTACATAGCTTTTAGCGACATGGCTGTGTTGCTAAAAGTCAGGCAGTGTAAATGCTGTTATTTCCACCCCCTACGAGCGGGGTTTGTGTTGTCGACAGGAGAGTGCTCCTGCCAACAATAAGCCATTTACATTGCCACTTGCTGCGGCAAAACTTTTGTCTTTCAGGGGGGGCTTTTTTAAGCACCTTTGAATGACAAAAGTTTTGTCGTTCAATTGGCAGTGTAGACAAAGCCTAAGACCTTGTCTACACTACAGAGTTAAGTCAACTTAAGTTACTTCGACGATCATATGTGGTGTTAATTACATCGGTTGTGCATGTCCTTGTGTTGGTGGAGTGCGTCTACAGTCAGTGCTCTTGCATCAACAGAGAGAGTATTGCATCGTGGATAGTTATCCTACTGTGCAACTTGCCACGCTCTGCTGCTGGGAGATATGGGAACAGATCACAGTACATTGTGGTCCCATGATACAGTTCTTTCTGTCCCATCATTCCATGGGCTTCCGACTTTGTTTTGCACTGTTTTTGAACAGCCCCTGTAAACTGTGCACCTGCCATCTCTGCTTGAAAGCATGGATCCTGAACTGCTGACCAGTCTGGTGATGAGTGTTATGAACACAACATGGCTGGTCTTGCAGTATTTCATGAGCTGGGAAACAGAAAGTGAATCTGTGGTGCCTGCTCTGCTGTGTACAACAGAAAGAAAGAATTCAAGATTGCTGCTGGCATTCATGGAGCAGCTGCACACAGGGTGGATCATGGGTACTGGGTTCAGGAAACAGGCACTGAGTGGTGGGATTGCATCGTGATGCATGTATGGGATGACAAGCAGTGGCTGCAGAACTTTCGGATGTACAAAGCAATTTCTGGGGACTGTGTGTGGAGCTCACCCCTGTCCTGCAGTGCAAGGACACCAGAATGAGAGCTGCCCTCACTGCGGAAAAGCAAGTGGTGATCGCAGTGTATAAGCTGGCAAATCCAGACTGCTGCCAGTCAGTTGCGAATCAGTTTGGAGTTGTAAAATCCACTGGGGGGGTTGCGGTGATGCAAGTGTGCAGGGCTATTAATCGCCTCCTGTTACAGACTGTGACTCTGGGTAACGTGCAGGAAATAATTGATGGCTTTGTGGCAATGGGATTCCCTTACTGCAGTGGGGTGATAGATGGCATACCTATCCCAATTTTGGCCCCAGACCATCTTGCGATGGAGTACATCAACCAAAAGGGCTACTTCTCCATGGTCTTCCAGGCACTGGTGGATTGTTTCACTGAGGCCATTTCACTGACATCAATGCAGGTTGGTCAGGGAAAGTTCATGATGCACATATCTTTAGGAACACTGGACAGTATAGAAAGCTGCATGCTGGGACTTTCTTTTCAGACCAGAAGATTCCAATGGGGGATGTGCAAATGCCCATAGTGATCCTGGGAGATGATGCCTATCCTATGCTCCTGTAGCTCATGAAGCCTTACACCGGGAACCTATACAGCAGCAAGGAGTGCTTCAACAACAGGCTCAGCAGGTGCCAAATGACTGCTGAATGTGCCTTTGGCTGATTAAAAGGTTGCTGGCACTGCCTTTTTGGCAGGTTAGACCTCAATGAAGAAAATATTATGATGGTCATAGCAGCCTGCTGTGTTCTGCATAACATTGGTGAAGCAAAGGGGAAAAGTTTCCCCAGTGGTGGAGCGCTGATTTGGAACAGACAGATACCAGGGCAATTAGAGGGGCTCAGCGTTGAGCTATTTGAATCAGGGAGGCTTTGAAGGAGCATTTTGACAATGATTCCCAGTAGCGTGTCGTTATGTGATGCATTCAGCCAGGCAGTATTTACTTGTCACCTGGAATGAACCCCGTAATGCTTGCTTCTTGAGCTTTAATTGTAGTTAGCAAATGTTCCTGCCTATAGCCACTGTGTTTGAATTTTATCAGCAACTACGGTGTGCATTAAACAAATAAAGATACATTTTTATTTAAAGGATAAAACACTTTTTTGTTTGTTTGTTTGTTTTTACAAAACAGGGGACATGGCAATGATGAACAGTCTCTCTCCGTTAAGGCTCTCACAGCTGTGTGTAACTCCAGATTTCATCATGAAACCAGTCTCTAGGGGTGGAGTGCAAGGGATATGGCGACAGAATGGGAACATGCGAGGAAGGTGTTGGGTGAGTATGAGGAGGGCATGGAACAGCGTTATGTATTGGCTGCAGGGGGAGTCATGCACGGATGTGCTCAGACTGCAGCGCTATGAGGGATTTGAGCATCTGAGTAGCTTTACCATCTGCTCCTGCCCAGTCTCCTTTCCAGGCTATCCAGCCTGAGTTTTTCATTAACTGTCTCCCTCCATGCTCTTGTTTCACTATGTGCTGGATCTGTTGACTGCAGCACTTCTCTAAACATATCCTCCTTACTCCTCCTGGTTTGCCTCCTTGTCTGACGGAGGCGCTCCGCCAGTATATAGGAGTTGGTCCTCGAGGGCACATTTGCAGAAGCCAAAGAAACAATGAACAGAGACAGTATTGAGTACACTCAAAGCCATGAATCACCAAAGTCACATACACCTCTTTCTCATTGTCCCTTGGCTAGCACACAGGTCAGCAAGAGTCCCAAATATGGTAGGGTGGGGGGAGGATTAGAAAGCATGAATGGGCAAGAAGGGACAAAGGGTCTGAGTGGTTGGCAAAGAGGCTCACTACACGCACCTAGGGAGAGTATTCTGAATATCGGCACCCTTTTCCACAGGCTGGGGTAAGCAAACCAGGTATCTCACTCTTGAGGGTAACCCCGGATGCAAGGGTGCATCGCATGCATGCATGCGGCTTCAGACCAGGTCCGTATGCTGCTCACCTGTGTGTCGCTTTGGTCCCTGCAGAAATAATTTCCAGTTGGCGTGGCAAAGTTTCCTACATCGGGGAGAGAAACAAGGCAGCTTTGCAAAGGAACCTTTAGCAGAGGATTACAGAGTACCTACATGGAAGTTTCCTAGAGATCTCTATGGAGGACTCCCAGGACATCCCTGTGTACATTAACAAACTTTTCTGCCAAGCCCCCACTGCGTAGCTGCATAGGCTCTATTAATTTCTATCCCTTGTCCCTCTTCTACCATATAACAAAGTAAATGAGACCTCAATCTCCTATCACTGTGCAGTATCAAAGCAAAATGCATGCTTACCAGAGCTTGCCTCTGCTGCTTTGTGTGTGCTAGAGCTGGAATGCTGGGATTGGCTAGACCCCTCCGGAGTCAAAAATAGGCACTGGCTTGCCACGCCACGAGACGACCCTGTCGCATGTCCTACTTCCTCCTCCACTTCCTTGTCTACCATTTTGTCCTCAGGGTTGACTCCACTGGTTGTTGCCTCCAGTCCCCTGAAGTATCCATGGGGCTTCTGGTGGTGGCGGTGGGGGTCACTGCCCAGGATGGTGTGCAGCTCCTCGTAGAAGCAGCATATCTTTAGTACTGCACCAGAACAATGGTTGATGTCCCTTGCCTTCTGGTACGCCCACCTCAGCTCCTTGATCTTAGCATGGCACTGCTGCGTGTCCCTCTCATGTCCCTTCTTCTACATGCCACGAGCAATCTGCCCGTAGATATCAAAGTTCCTACGGCTTGAGCAAAGCTGCAACTGCACAGCCTCCTCTCCCCACAGACCCAACAGCTCTGGTGTACTCCATGAGGGAGTGCGTCTGTTGTGGAAAGCCAGCAGGATCAGCTGGGACGATGTTGTGTGAACAGTCCATGCTGAGCAAATGGAAAGAGGAATTTCAAAAATTCACGGGCCTTTAAACAGGAGGGAGGTGCATGCAGGGCAGCAGAGTTCAAGCTGCTGACCAGAGAGGTCATAATGGGCATTGTGGGACACCTTCTGAAGGCCAATTAGGGTGACATAAACAAGCACAGTGTCTACACTGTTGCTGTGTCACTCGTCAAGGTGGTTTTATTTTGTCGTCATAGCGGGGAGTTACATGGTCGGATGAGCATTTCAGTGCTTACACCTCCACTGTTTTGTTGATGAAAGCTGACTTTTGTCGACAAAACTGTGTAGTGTAGACAAGGCCTGAGTAGAACCTGGTAAGATGGCAGATTGTGATCAGCTACATGCTCCCTTTGGGCTACAAAGGAACTGCAGGATTTAGGAGTCTCCACAAATTTGGTAGGGCATGGAATGGCAGGGTACAAGTTGTCCCATGGAAGCTTGCAGAGGTAGCGAGAGGGTCATTTTTAATTTAGGGTCACTATCTAGTTTTCTTTACATTCTTTTAAAAACACAAGACAGTACCACGTGTTGTGGGAATGTCTTCTGGTTAAACATGCAGAAAGAAGTTGACACTAGAATTAAAATAATTTTGGACTTTAGCAATCAAACATCAGCCAAGAACTACGTTAGAATATTTACCCTTGAATTTGGGCCTTTCTCCAGCATAGTGTTCATGGTTTCTGAGAGCAGCCACAAAGCGAATGATTTTACAGATGAAAATAAATCATGGCACCGACTAGAACAATAATGTTTTGACTTCTTTGACCTAGCGGCCAAAGGGTTACTTTCTCCACAGGGACCAACTACCTGAGTTTAAAGAAATCTGAGCTCCATTTTTAGAAACATTTGACTAAGGAACTCCAAGGCCCGGGGGCCAGTCCAGACCTCCTTCCCCTTCCTGCACCGCCTTAACTCTTTCTCCACCTTCTTTTCCCCCTGCTTTCATACTTTCCTTCCTGCCTTGTGTGTGTTTCCTCCCATAAATTGCAAAGCATTAAATTATTTGATTTCACAGTTTAATATTAAGGTTGTTGCATATACATATTAACGGTATGCTGTACATTACAGATGGTAACTTTAATTTTAGAAAAGAAAAAAACCCAAAATTGTCTATTGTGATTTTTCCATTGAAAAGTAAAAAATTAAAAAACCTTAATAAAAACCAGACAGTAATTAAATCAAATGAATCAATGTACACAGAAGAGCTCTACCAACCCTTCACAATTAAAATCCTCCTCCCTTGATCCACCCAATCCTTTAAGGAAAGTAGATAGGACTTGTACCCTGCACTGTAAGGCAACAGAACAGGGTTCTGTTCATGCTGATCCCAGTTTTGTTTTATAATCCTAAACCCAGTCTTTACACACTCTCCACTCAGCTGTCTATCTGATGCTGCCAGCTGCTCTAGTTGTTGCTGAGCAGTTGTAGTCAACATTGTCTGCGTTGGACACTGTACTAGGTCACTAAGGAATTTCAGGGGTTCTTCAGAGGCTAGGAAAATCCCAAGGGGACTGGAGCAAGACTTCTTCTGGAGACCTTACAGAGGCCTGACTGACAACATTTCAACCTAGACAATTGGTATTTAGTCATTTCGGAGTGTTCGGCAAAGCTGAGTATCAGCCTCCATACAGCTTTAGTACCTGGTCAGTCAGCAGGGGTCTCTTGTGAAAGTAAAAAATTGTTTTGGTACACAATATAAATGATGAGAGATTCATAGCCAATAAGAAGTTTCACCCTGTTGTCAGAGTCCCTGACATCATAAATATCACATAATGAATAAATAGGCCCTGATCCTCAGCTGTACTGGGGCACCTTGCGTAACTCTATTGGTGCAAAGCAGCCCAAAGCTAGCGTGCTACAAAACCACTGTAGCAGCTCCTACATCACAGCCTGCTAGTTGGTTAGTGTAGGGTGCATGGCCAGAGCTTCCCGTTGTCTTGGTGATTCCTAGCTGCCATAACAGCCCCTGAAGGCTACTGTATTGGCTGTATTTTAGAGCAACCCAAAGACTGCTTTAATATAGGTGCACTTGGTCTGTCTGTGGCAAAGGCCTAGGATCAAGGAAGCATGAAAGTAGCTAATGGGGCCACCAGAACTACAGGTGGTGTAGAGGCAGAGGGCCCTATGGGGATCTGATGGGTTTAGAGTGCATATACCTCCTTCTCCCCATGGGGGCAAATCCCCTTCTCAGCAAGATGATGTTGCAAGGGAGCGACGTGAGGGAGTGCATATGGAAATTTCCTCCCCAATTTCACCTCTCTTTGGTTTTACGACACAATAGGCTGATGTGGCCTGATCGTGCATAGCATTTATATATATTATGTTCAAAGCACTGTACAGACATAACTAATTCTCATAACACCTTTGTCAGGAAAGTGTGCAAGTATTAGTCTCATTTTACAGAGAAGGAAATTGAGGCAGCAGGAGAAATTGCTTCTCTGAAGTCACGCAGCAAGTCAGTGAGTGGCACAGCCAGGATTAGAACACAGGATCTCCTAACGTCCAACCGCTATTGGACAGATATTGTGCCAAGGATCAAATCCTACTGTTTTTTTCTTCTCAGCGAGGGACAAGTGATTTTGATGAGAAGTTCACGGTCACCACTTGCACAGAACAAGTGATTTCAAAGAATGAAACACTGACACAGAAATGGGTATTAAAAAATATTAAAATACTCAAATGTCATGCTTGCCCTTTCATTAGAAACAGCAAAGACTTTACTACTGGATTAATACTTCCTTCTCTCCCCATCAACATTACACAAGTGCACTTAAATCTGACTTAATCAAACAATTGAATCATAGGCATTAATCCTATCATGTAAAAGGAAAAACACATACCAGTGTAAATCCATTTTAATAAATCTGGGAAGATATGCCTAAGAACTGGGATACTGGAAGTGTTTTAAACTTAAATAACTCAAAATGATTTAACTTCTAAAATTTCTCCCTTTCTTCTTTTCCAACATGAATGCATGATTCTTATCTCTAAGAGAGACCAGGTGGGTGAGGTAATATCTTTTAGCTAACTTCTGCTGATGAAAGAGACAAGCTTTTGAGCTACAGAGAGCAATTCTTTAGGTACATCTTATCTCTAAGATCTTCACACAGTCTCCCAAGTTCCATCTCTCTATGCATCACTTTGCCAGGTTTTTCTTTAAGACTTGAACAAAAAACAAGTTTAGTGAAAAGAAATTGTGTTTGTTTATTTTAATTTTTAAAATGCACCTACCCATTTGGTCAAGATGTATCATTAGAAAATATATGCTTTTTAACAACTGCAAACATGACAAAAGTAGAGCACACATATTTTGAGATTCTTCTTAAAATAGCAGCATATATTTTGTAGGGTGCTGAATGTATTTTCCTGGTTTCGTAACACTGGTAAGTATTTCGAACATATTTATATTTCTGATATAAAGATTGTTATTAATAGAATAGCCTTCCTTACAGGATGTTATCCTGTGTCGCGTCTGTTGGCTCTCAGTAGCAGCCACTGTTAGTACTATCCTATTTATTATTTGTTTCCAGTAGCAGCTACAACATGTGAGGAGCTGTACAAACTTAAAAGAAGACACAGTATCTGCCCAGTAGAGCGTACAATATAAAGAGAAGCCAGACAAACAAACAAGTAGGGGAAAGTGGCATTTCATAAATAAAGGGGTCAAGGTGATGACTGGCCACATCTTGATAATACTGCTGAAAACATACAGGTGTTAAGTAATAACAATAATGCCTTTATGGGAAACTCTTACCACCATCTTTTCTGTGGGTTAGTTTCTCAAAAGAAGGTTTCTCTCTCTTACTTGAGATGAGTAAGACAACGGATTTACCTCCTTCAATTTAATTATCAATTTAACTGTCTTTATGCATGTCTTTAGCTCTAGTGTGTCTCATTTGTTCTTTCTTTCTTCCACATTGCTTGCTGTTGCCTATATTTCGACTCCTGGAAAATCTTCTCCACTTGTTTAGCAAAGCCAGGACTATCTTCTTCCAGTGCATTAATGGCTTGCAGGACACAAGGAGTCTTCTCCCTTGGAAGTGGATTATTCAGTGGCCTCAATGGTATGACAGAGTTATATTTATGCTGTTTGTTAAGGGCATTCATCAGGGAGGCATAAGACTGGAACTCACACCAAGCCTCACTCAAGAAATGTTCTGTCAACAGAATAATAGTCCATGCTGACCTATTCACAGCATCATTTAAGTTTTGTAAGAAATGTCTACCACTAGGCATTTCAGCAAAGATTATTCCAGGTTTAATACAAAAATTATTTTGTAGCAGATGCTGGAGTCGGCTGGCTTCATCTGCATCATTCTGAGCATGCAGAATCACAAACTTGTAAAACACATCCTCAGGATCCTCATCACTGCTGTGAATTTCTGAAACTTTTGTAGAGATCCCTTCTATGTCAAGAGACAGGCCACACAATTCATGATTTTGCTTGAAGTCTCTCTGGCCTGCACTCACATTGGTACCCTTTTCTGTGTTATTTGGTGGAGGGGGCGGATTTCTTTTGGAGTTATTGTTGCCCATTATGATAAATGTATACGTCAGAAGATGTGTTCACGTGGTTAACATCTACTCATTTCATTCTAAAAAACAAAAAGTAAAAACCTGTTGAATCTTGTGACAACCTAAAAAAGGCATTCATAGCAATCTAGAAATAACCTGAACTGTCTGAATTGGGCTATTATACATCTTAATGAAAAATAGCAAAAATGCTGAAAGGCACCTGGTGGCAAAAGTGGACAATAAACTATATGACCGAGCAATACAATATTTCAGCAAAGAAAAAAGTGGTTTTAGGCTACGGTAGGAGCATGTCATGGAACAGGGAGTTAACTGTCCAACTATACTATATAGACCTCAGCTAAGATTACATCTTGAATACTGTGTTCACCTTAAAGATGTTCACCAGAAAGATGTCAGCAAATTGGAGTAAATTCATAGACGAGCAAGAGCCCATGTATTATATAGTATGTTAGATCTAAATTATACAACAAGGCTTCCCCCATAAATGCATTGAATTCTGCAGAAAACCAGGAATTATATGTGACAATGGTTAGTTGATTATAAAGCCATTTGATAACCTTCAATTTTATTGAAATTCCAAAAATATTCCCACAAAGTTCTATTTCTGTAGATTCATGCAATGCAAATGGAGATTTAGGGTCTGATTCCCTTCCCACAGAAGTCAGTGAAAAGCTTCCAATAGATTTCAATGGAAGTTGGATTAGACTCACATAGCCACATAATTATATTATACATATGGCCTTGTAGAAGAGCTATAAAAATGTTTAAAGAACTAGAAGAAGTGACCCTAGGAGGAAAGATGCAACTATGCATAGACTGGTGAAACAATAAATGAAGGAGACATCATAACACAATTTATAAACATATGATGAGGAATGTAAAAAACAAGGAGAGTGTGTAATTGTTTAGAATGGGTAAAAATGGTATGATGCCCGGTGAGTAAATGAAATTAAGACCAGAACAATTTAGGTTGGATATCAGAAAAAAGCCTTCTGGTTGTGAAAACTATTAATTTATAAAATAGTCTCTGCAAGGAAGTGGTGGTGGACTCTTCGCTAGTCTCACTTTAAAACTGAATTAGATAAAGCACTATAAATTGTTTGGGATCAATCCTGTATTGGCTAGCATTTTACTATTTAATAGATCTTCCCCATTTCTAACATCTGTGAAATGGCACAATGAAAGCAAAGGGAAACTGGTAACCTTTTTGTACTTTTAAAAAAGATTAAGTTTTCATCATTGACGCAAGTGAATAAATAATTTTTAAAAAAACAGATAATATTATGCAGAATATTTTTAATTAAAGTGTTGTACAAAGCGTTAGCTATTCATTTTGAACATGATAAAAAGTGTGATTCAATTTCTGTGTGCTCCAATAAAGGGGCATCCATATTACTTTAGTGACACATAAGTCATGATGTTCTACTAACGATAGAGTGACTGCTTTGACAGAGCCCTAGCAGAATGACACTGAAGGGGATCAAGAAATCTGTACATGTAAAGTGATTATTATCTGTTAATAGTATAGCACTAATGAAAATTAAGGGGTATATGGCAATTATTAAATAGTTCTGAAACACTTCTCTTTACATGTAGAATAGTGTCTAAAAACCTTGATACCTTTTCTGGGATTTTAATAAAATTAAATTCATCCAAGGTGAACTACTGGTTTGTATATCTATTGATTAAAATGCTTCCCTATTTATTCTGATAAGTGAATGCTTGTATTGACAAAAGCATCATAAAGCACACACGTTTCTGCAATAATACAACACTACCTTGTATTAAATAGATTAGCTATTGTCATCTTATGTTTGCTTTTTAGAAAATAATATTGTGAAATGGATCATTTCACCAAGAACCATATGGCTCCAATCCTATAAACTTTTATCCATGTGAATAGCCCCACTGACTTCAAATTAATGAAAAATATTCTTAAAAAACTGACATTTCAAAGGATATTTATTCCTGTTTATTAACATGCCCTAGAAGCTTTAACCCAGCTTTTGTTGCCTTAACAATTTATTTGTCCTCCACAGCCTTGTTAACGTTGCTCAGTGCTGAGTAAAGCAGTTGTTTTGAATAGTTGCATGAAAATTGTACAAATTTGCAAACAGATACAGTATAAGAAAAAAAGTTAAACCAATCTTTTGGCCGATCCACCATGGAAGTACCTAAATGAAAAGCAGTTTGATCTTGCATTGCCCATACCTGCTGTATTTTTTAAAAAAGCGCTTATACACCTCTACCCCGATATAACGCAACCTGATAAAACACGAATTCGGATATAACGCGGTAAAGCAGTGCTCCGGGGGGGCGGGGCTGCGCACTCCGGCGGATCAAAGCAAGTTCGATATAACACGGTTTCACCTATAATGTGGTAAGATTTTTTGGCTTCCGAGGACAGCGTTATATCGGGGTAGAGGTGTATTCAGTTTCTTTTCTTTGCAATATTGGAACACATTTTATTTTAGCTGGAACAGCGCCACCTTGTGACACATACTTACAACAGAGCATCAGCATGTACATCATCCTTTATATTAAGTGTATGTCAAGATGTTTTATAGAATTAATACATGGCCAAAATGATCCATTCCATTTCAATGAGCAGAGGAGTCTGAGATCCAGCAGATCCTCTCCTAAGACACAGAGGGCCTGATTCTGTTTTCACACTGTTTTTACAGTGGTATAATTTCACTGATCTCAGTGGAGTTTCTCTTGATTTACATTGGTATTAGCAGAATCAGATCCAGATGATGTGAGGCCACAGCTCAGGGTATTTTCTCCTTCCCTTGGCCAGAAGGAAACTACTCTCCTAGAGTTCTGCACGGGGCAGTGCTCCACTGAGCTTTGAGAGCAAGAGTGGGAAGAGGTAGGGCTGAGTCTCAGCCAGCAGTATCCCTTGAGGAGAAGATGATTTTGTCCAGATTCTCATAACATGAAGGATCAGATTATTACTAGTCACTCTTTGGCAAATACATATTTTTGTTGGCAGAGCCCAATAATGAGTGTTTCTTCACAGGGAGAATGTATCTATGTAATTTCTTATTCTCCCAAATGATTTTTTTAATAAAATTAAAACTTTTAAAGTAAGCACATAGTGCCAGTTTGGCCCCAATTTCTGTAATTTAACTTTTGCTAGAATAACATTTTATCTTGTTAACTTCAGAATGGAGAAGCATTTGGGGAAGGTTTACACAACACTGTCATACTTTTTTCAGTAACACATATCCATGCCCAAAGGTGGCTATGTATGCATCCTTCCAAGCCTTACTATACTCTGAGCTCCCTCCTGAGAAAGCTGTTTCTAGGCGTTTTCTCCCCAAGAATTCCTCTCTCACTCCCAAATCCCTCCTTTCCCAGAGGAGAAGTTTTTAATGCTGTAGAATGGAGCTAAGGAGACTATGCCCTAGCTTCTAGCTTGATTCTACAGAATGGTGCTACCTCTGCTTTCACGTACCTTACATTCCTCAGAGTAAACTTAAAAATCACACTTCGATCTGAAAATTTGTACCTACTATTGTTACAAGTAACACCAAAAGAGCTATAACTGATAGATTTTTGGGAGAGAAAAAAATACTTTAGTTAAATTACAAAAGACTGTCAAATGCTCAAAGTAACCCATGGGTCCCAATGTTTTCCCTGTATAGTCAATTTCCCTCTTTTGTTTCTGTGAATCTTTCACACATCAAAAAAGGAAAAGAAAAAATTTAAATACAAAATTTTAATTGTAAACCTTCCAAAACAGGCAAGGGACTCAGGGATGTCTGTACTGCTTGAAACTACTTTTAACTCATTTTTGGAACTGACTACATTTTAAGTTGACAGGGTCCCTTTAAGTTTTAAAACCAGCACTAATAAAAACTAATAAGTTCTTATGTTGTCAAAATGGAGATTCAATCATGTTTTTAAACAAAGTTTTATATGAATGTCTTAATATTTAATTTTAAGCATAATTTGCAGAATCTAAGCAGACACCTGCACGGCCACACCAGCAAGCAGGGCCAACTTTAGGAACTGCGGGGCCCGATTGGAATAGTTTCAATGGGGCCCCGGCAGGGATGACTCACCCGCGGCGCTCCAGGTCTTCGGCGGCACTTCCGGTGGGTCCTTCACTCGCTCTGGGTCTTCAGCAGCACTGAAGGACATGGCCCCGATCCCCCGACCGGAGCCCCGGGAGGAGCGTGGCGACACCCCCGGCCCCGATCCCCCGGCCAGAGCCCCGTGAGGAGCACGGCGACATCCCTGGCCCCGATCCACAGGACGGAGTGGCAGGCGGAGTGCGGCGAAACCCCCGGCCCCGGTTCCCCGACCAGAGCCCCGGGAGTAGTGCGGTGAAACCCCCGGCCCCGATCCACGGGACGGAGCGACAGGCGGAGCGCGGCTAAACCCCCAGCCCCTCTCCCCCGGGGGATCGGAGCCAGGGATTTCGCTGCGCGGTGCCCGCCGCTCCGGCCAGGGAATCGGGGCCAGGGGTTTAGCTGCGCTCCGCCCACTGCTCCGGTCGAGGGATCGGGGCCGGGGGTTTCGCCATGCTCCTCCCGGCGCTCCGGCCGTGGGATCGGGACCGGGGGTTTCTCCGCAATCCGCCCGGCGCTCCGGCTGGGGGAGCGGGACGGGGGTTTCGCCGCCGAAATCCCGGAGCAAGGGAAGGACCCACCGCCGAGTGAGTAAAAATTAAAAAGGCGCCTAAGTTAGGTGCTCTTCTAGGCGCAGGGCCCGATTCGGGGGAATCGACCTAAAGCCAGCCCTGCTAGCAAGCTGCCATAAATTTAAATGTGCAATGTTCTTCAGCTTTGACCCCGGGGCATTACACCTCTTAGAGCCAGTAGATTTTAATTCTTACCGCTATGGCGACTCATGGGAGGGACACAAAGGGGGGCACCAGCTAAAGGGGGGGCACGTGACCTCCCCATGTGACTCCTCCATGCCCCGCCCCAGCGTGGGACCCCCGCGCTCTCCCCATCCCACATTACCTTGGGGACTGGGATCTGCGCCAGCTCCCGCTGATATTCGGCTGCTCTTCCTGGCAGCCAGGCCCCGGAGCCACTCCCGGATGCTGCCTGGTGCAGCACAGCAGCTGCCTGGGAGAGTGCACGGCTCTCCCAGGCAACGTGGCTGGAAGAGGAAAGGCTCTGGCCCTCCGGCTCTAGCCCCATCCCTTCCTCTTCCTGCCCGGGCTGGTGGGGGCACTTAAACCTGGGAAGGGTCACATGACCCTTTGTGCCCCTATCACCAGTCACCTTTTCTGACTGTCAAATTTATATAGAAATCTGTGTCTGCTGAACCGCAGGGATCTTCCGGGAACCGCATCAGTGAAAGGATCAGAAGGTGGGCCTGGCCAGCGGCCCCACGCCGGCAGCTCCTCGGGTGCAGCTGTACCGCCCCACAGCCCCGCCCACAGCTACATCTCCTGTCTGGGGTCTGTACAGCCCTGCCGGAGGGGACAGGGCTGGGGGCGGTACAGCCGTGCCGGAGGAGCTGCCTGCCCGGGGCTGCCCGGCGGCCCCACATTCTGCTTTCGCCGCTGTGATTCCCGGGAGAGCCCTGCGGTGCGCAGCAGCTACCGAATGTGTCGTTCCGGTATGGCGTGCTGGCAATAAATGTCTTAATGGCATGGCGTACCTGACTGTACTAGGGCCGCCCGGGCGGGGGGGGGGAGGGGCAATTTGCCCCAGGCCCCCACGGGAATATAGTATTCTATAGTATTTTTATGGAAAGGGCCCCCGATATTGCTTTGCCCCAGGCTCCCTGAATCCTCTGGCCGGCCCTGGACCGTACCGGCTTATTTGCACCACTGCTTATGCCCATCACACCTGGGCTTTCATTTGATCTCAGATGTTAATAAATGTTTTGAGTAATACTTTTCGATCTAGATTCCCTCACCAAGCTAGTACAGGGAGGTGTATTTTACACCTCTGTTCTCCCCCTGGAGAAGTCACCCAGAGTGAGGGCAGGCAGTGCTTCTGCCACCTGCCATCCTCAACTATTGAGCTGGAGAAAACACCTTTACATTGCCGTCCCAGGGAAGGCTGCTGAGCGGTGTTTTTCCATCAGTGCACCCCTTCGCCAGCCGGCTACTCTCTTTTACTCTTCTCCTCGCCCCTGCCCCCTGCTTCCAGCAGAATAACAGCCCCAGCCCGGGATTATACTGGCAGAATTGGTACAGACCCCGGGGCCGATCTGTGCCAGGATTCCTCCCCACAGACAGATCTGTTTCTGGCCGAAGAAACAGAGCAAGTTAGGGAAGCCTCTTGTGCTTTGCCTCCATAGTAGTGAGGGGGCAGCTCGGCTGCCCGCGGCTCGGCGGCGGGGAAGAAGGCTGGGCTGAGACCTGTCTCGCTGGGGTGAGGCTCTAGGGGCCAGCTCGTGTCATGGGAGCCGTAGGGCAGCCGGTGCGGGACGGGCGCAGGGGGAAGCGGCGGGGGCCGGGGCTGCGACAGGGAGGGGGCCGCGCAGGGTCTGGCCGGGGCGTCGCGTGGGGCTGTAGCTCAGGGGAAGCGGCGGGGCCCAGGCTCTCGGCGGGTCTCCCCCCGGGAAGGGAAGCGCCGCGGGTAGAGTCTGGGCCGCCCCGTCGGAGTCACTTACAGGGCTGAGGCCGCTCGTCCTTCCCCGCAGGCGGACGCGGTGGCGCTGGCTGGCGAGGGACCGGGGCGGGGCTCGGCTACCGCTTTCCCCATCAGCTCCGGGAAACAAAAGCCGCGTGTGACGGGCAGGACCGCGCCCTGTCACGCCGAGCGCTGCTGGGAGCAGCCGCCCGCCTCAGCGGAGGAGCGGACTCGGGCCCCGCGCTGGGCTGGCTGAGCCGCATAACCCACATGGCGGGCACCATGGGAGCCAGCCCCCGCCTCCGTTCTCTGGTTTTCATAAAGGGCGAATTGAAAAGCGGCTGGAACACAGGTGCGCACAAGAACATCCCCTGGTAACGTGAGATTAAAAAGTTCCCCCCAGTTTGGCAAAGCGACAAACGCGAAGAAGAGCTCGGTGTATTGGAAGCGTCTCTTTCACCAACCCTAGCTGAGCCAATAAAAGATATCACCTCACCCACCTTTGCTCTTCCTGCTTCGAGGCATAAGCCAACCTTTGGAGGCATTCAGAAGCTTTCGTCGTAGGGCATGTTATTGCATCCGTTCCCATTTCAGGGGTTCTTTCACCTTCCTCTGTAGCATCCGGTACTGGCCACCACTATAACCGAATGAGAGAGCACTGGGCTAAATGAACCTCTGGGCTGAGTGGCAGTGGTTATGGAGTAGGCTCCAAAAAGCTACTTAGGCGTTGTTCAATTTTTAGGCACCACTTGTGACCCACAAAACTCCTGCTCGCCTGCTGCATAATCCTGCAGGCTCCTAAAGTCACTCGGCCCCTACGGTTTTGCCTCTGGGCATGCACTCTGCAGCTTCACTTGAGGTGGCTGGGCAGATGGCTCTTGCCTGAGGACTGCATACTGCTCCCTCACTTGAGATGCTCAGATGCCTATCTCCAGCTAAGCCCCAGAGCAATTCACAACCTGGGAAAGAAGCATTCGGCCCCATAAATCATATGGGGAGGCCCAATCCCATAGGCCACCTCTGAGCATACTACCAGATTGGACTCCTCAAGTAAATTTCACACAGAACAGCCAGGACTCATGGGAGGAGGTGGCTGTCCCATTTAGCCTTGTGGCTAGAGTACTTGCCCAGACTGTAGGAGCCCCTTGGTTCAAAACCCCCTTTGCCCAATGAAGAGGCATTTGAATGGGGATGTGGCATCTCTCAGATCAAGTTGAAATATGAATGGGGCAGACAAAGAATGATTCTATAGCCTAGTGGTTAGGGTACTCACCCAGGGGGTACCAGGCCTGCTCAAATACCTTCTCCCCTAGTTGATGGATCTCTAGCAGACCAAGGCACTTATCTCAGAGAGTGGTGGGGCTTAGGACAGCTGTATTATCAGCACCTCCCATGGGCTAATTTAGGCAGCTCTCCTCTTAGCATGTTAGCTTTATGGATTGTATTCTTGGGTGCTAATATTCATTGTTAGGCAAGGGTTCCTCTACCCAAGCTTTATGGCCCATAGTGTTATACTGGTGGAGGAGTGGCACTCTATGTGAAAGAAAGCATAAAACAAATCAGTAAAAATCCTAAATGAATCAAACAGTACCATGGTATCTCTATGGATAGAAATGCCATGCTTGAATAATAAAAGTAGAAACATACTACTGACCACCTGCCCTGGATGATGACAGACTATGAAATGCTCAGGGAGATTAGAGGCTACAAAAAACAGAAAACCCAATAATAATGGGGGATTTCAACTAGCCCCATATTTTCTGGGCACCAGCCACCTCTGGACAGGATGCAGACAGAAAATTTCTGAATTTTCAAACCATGACTGCCTGCTTCTTGGAGCACCTGTTGGGATCCCCTCTGAGATCTTTTCCACTCAGCTTATCTAGAACACCTTGTCCAGTTCTGGGATCCAAAAAACTCAGACTGCACATTTAGTCACTCAGGTTCCTTTATTTGGCATACAGCAAAGCTACACTTGAGTTGAGCAGACTCCAGAATAGGGGGTGGGTATGGGACATACCACACATCCAAAGTTACACAGCAAACCTCTTCCATTATATGTATTTACATATTACATTGCATTTACTACATATTGCATCATGTTTTTGGATTGGCATGGTTACTTTGCAGGAACTAATCCCTGGGCAGCATGCTCTGTCCATGCTCAATTTACTCTTTACCTCTTATCTACATTCCTAACTTATTTTGTCCATTGTGAATAAATGGTGAACTGGATGTTCTCCCTTTTATCTTAGCTGGCTCAGACATTTGGTCTTTTTAGCCTACTGCCATATTTACTTTCCGTATTTAGCACAAATGTTCTGTTTTCAGCCTAATCACCTGTTTACCTCCCTAATTCTATCCTCCAAGAAATGAGGCCTCCCTCCAAGTGTGAATTACACGGCCTAGCCTCAGCTACAGCTGCTAGTCCTGGAATCCTTTAGGAGAGAGGCAGTTCTTGATTTAGTCCAAAGTGGAACACTGGATCTGGTTCAAGAGGTGAATTATTGCTGAACCGCTCAGTAATAGCTACCATAATGTAATTAAATTAGGGCTGTCAAGCGATAAAAAAATTAATCGTGATTAATCACGCTGTTAAACAATAGAATACCATTTATATAAATATTTTTGGATGTTTTCCACATTTTCAAATATATTGATTTCAATTACAACACAGAATTGAAAGTGTACAGTGCTCGCTTTACATTTATTTTTATTATAATTTGCTCTGTAAAAAATAGTAATTTTCAATTCACTTAGTACAAGTACTGTAGTGCAATCTGTACCATGAAAGTTGAACTTACAAACGTAGAATTATCTACAAAAAATAACTACATTCAAAAATAAAACAGTGTAAAACTTTAGAGCCTACAGGACCACTCAGTCCTCCTCCTTGTCAGCCAATCGCTCAGACAAAAGTTTGTTTACAATTGCAGGAGATAATGCTGCCTGCTTCTTGTTTACGTCACCTGAAAGTGAGAACAGGCGTTCGCATGGCACTGTTGTAGCCGGCGTTGCAAGATAAAGTAAATGTAACTATTTGCAAGATATTAGTGCCAGATGCGCTAAAGATTCATATGTCCCTTCATGCTTCAACCACCATTCCAGGGGACATGTGTCCATGCTGATGATGGGTTCTGCTCAGTAATGATCCAAAGCAGTGCAGACCAATGCATGTTCATTTTCATCATCTGAGTCAGATGTCACCAGCAGAAAGCTGATTTTCTTTTTTTGGTGGTTGGGTTCTGTAGTTTCTGCATCAGTGTTGCTCTTTTAAGACTTCTGAAAGCATGTATCACCCCGTCCCTCTCAGATTTTGGAAGGCATTTTAGATTCTTAAATCTTGAGTCAAGTGCTGTAGCTATCTTTAAAAATCTCACATTGGTACCTTCTTTGTGTTCTCAAACCTGCAGTGAAAGTGTTCTTAAAATGAACATGGTGGGTCATCATCCGAGACTGCTATAATATGAAATATATGGCAGAATGCGGGTAAAACAGAGCAGGAGACATACAATTCTTCCCCAAAGAGTTCAGTCACAAATTTAATTAACACATTTTTTTAATGAGCGTCATCAGCATGGAAGCATGTCCTC